GTTAAATTTTTTTTTTCATAAAGATATAGTTTTCTATAAATAATTTATTGTTTTAAAACAGTGATTTCGTTTGATGAAAATTTCTGGTGTGGGAGATACACATTTACGACGTGATGATCCAGTGTTGATTTCTGTTTTACCTGGTAGACAACTGACTGTGAGAAAAAAAGTAGAAAAGTTTGAAGGTGCTTAGAAAAAACAAAAAGGTTAGAATATAATAACCATCATCAAGGGTTTGATGTGAGAAGGAGTGAGATGCATGGAGAAGGAAGGGTCATTCTTCAGTTGAATCAATGCATCGATGAAATCCCCTTCATCGGTAAGTTTCTTCCTTTCAGGATCAAGGTGTTCATCGATGGCGTTCTGGAAAAACCCATCCAACAGATTAAACATTTTCTCAAGACGACCCATCAACCCTGTGAGTTTATCAACCACACCACCAACAAAAGGAATGTAATCTGTGTAGAAAGTTGAAGCTATCAATTCCTGCGCTTCTTTAAGAAGGCCATGGAACATGCTTTTCTCGATTCCTTCCTCTTCATACCTTCTCCCCAGAGCATTTCTAAACACTACAGCGCTTGTGAGACAAGTCAGGAGCTCATGCAAGTTCGTCTCCTTGGAACAAGAAGCGTGCTCCGATATCTTTCTCACCAAATGGGATACCTCACATTTTCTGAACTGGGAAAACATTAGAACACGCTTAAGGCTAAGGAAGTGGATGATGGAAATTTTTCTGGTGTGTCTCCAATAATCTCTATAGGGTGAAAATGCCATGTCTAGCCCATTATAGGAAAGTTTCATTGAGCTTAGGAGAGAGGGTCGGCCACAGAAGGCAAGGTCCTGGGTTTTCATTACCTCCTTGGCTAGTTTTGGTGAGGAGATAACAATGGCAGGCCTTGAACCCAGTTGAAGAGAAAAGATGGGACCGTATTTTTTGGAGAGTTCATATAGCTTCAAACAAAGGGTAGAACTATCGAGTAGATAAAGATTGCCAATCAAAGGAAGACCTCTAGGGCCTGGTGGAAAGGTTGGTTTCTTAGATGTTTTGCGTATTCGTAAGAGGAATAATAGCAAGATGGGGAAAGCTAAAAGAACAAACGGTAACATTTTTTCCATGAACGATTAGAAAATGAGAGAGAGAACAAGAGTTTTCGTTGCAGTGGGATGAGATTTGCTTGATCAAGTGGGTAAATATATATGTGTATGAATTCCCTCGTTCCGTTTTGGTAAAACAATTACGTTCAGTTGATTATTAATGTGGTTAACGTCAATAACATCTTTATGTTGTAGCTTCTTAAGAAAAAACAGAGAGAAAAGATTCTGAACTTCAAAATGTGGTGAAAAGGCAAAATACTATTAGAGGGTAGTTGTTTATCTAACGCTTTTGCGAGATGTTTATGTCATCTTGTTTCCTCGTTGTTTTGGCTCTTTTTAATGATTTGACTTTCATGTTTAATTTATGATGTAAAATGTTTCATTGGCTATGTACAAATCAGTCCATGCCATGATGTGATTTAGAAATGGAGATGTGACTCGTTTGTGAAATGTATGCATCGTTATCATGCTGATCCTGCACGAACCAAAGAATTATTCTTGATGAGTCAGGCAATTAATACAAGTCTATTCAATTTGTAAGGAATCACTGAGGACTCTACAACTATAAAGCATAACACATAGTAAGAAAGTAATTCAGAATTCTTTCGGGTATATGGATACAGTCTTCTTCTTAGTGGGAGTTCTTTCACTTTTAGTTTTCAAGTTGATTTCTTGTTCGTTAATACCAATCGATGAATATTTATTAGAGGTCTTTCGATTTCAAAATCAGTTTGGTTCGATTAGCAAGGATAATAGATGTGTAATTAATGTATTAATGTATAATCTACTATTTTATCTCGAATTTCTATTTACTTTTTGATGGACTTTTGATTAGGATCGGCTTAATTACGATACAAACATGTCTACTCATGATTAAGTTTTTAAACAAAATGATTTGGAATTAATCCCCTTCGGCTTGACTATTCGGTCTCTAAGATACTTCGACCATTCGTCTGATTGGAATGGATGTCACTAACTGTCTAACTAAGAATTAACCAAACAAGACATTGTACACCGACATCCCAAGCCCTCACACTATATAAGTTGCAAAGGGGTTCTATACTTTGGTTGCTCGATGTTGTATCGTCTTTTATATTTTTCATTTGTGTTGAATTATCACCATTGAGGGAGACAGTTGTGACGCTTCTTTTGGTTTTGTCTCTTTTTAGACAAATAGCGTTTAACTTGTTTAAGCTTTCTTTTAATGTTTTTATTTTTATGTCTTTTAAGATATTTTGTCAGAGACATTGTCTCGACCTATTCTGTTTTCGACAGCTACGTTGAGTACCTTTTTCAGGTATCATCAAGTGTTTGACTTCAACTCTCTTAGACGCTTTAGGCATAACAACTCCTGGAGCATTCCATACCACGATCATCATTGTAGATATACCACCACCATGACTATCCTAGTTATAAACAAACCATGAGCATCACTAAACCATAAACATCATAGTGGAAAGAGTCAGTCTCACTCCTGTACCCTACCTCATCGACTGTAGCTGCTCCCACAGCCCAATATGAAAATTCTCCATAGGTACATTCGACTAGTCCCGCGATCATCAGCTAAGAACATGCAATCTTGCCACACAAGGACAAGGAAGACACTTTCAACCCCACACAAGGAAGTTCAATATCCGAATAACCTTTCCAATGCACACAAGGAAAAAGAAGCACATATCCATAGATAAGCACCAGAAATTACTAGCTACAACAAGTAAACTTTATCCTCCACTCTTCATGCTCATCATTCACCTATTCAGATACACCACAACACTCACTCATACTCCAATCTCAACTATAGGTCAAACCTAACTCTAAACACAAGAACTATTCTCATTCTCTGCTTAACATTATTCAACTCTCAACATCTAAAGTCCTTTTTAAAAATCCAATGTGAACTCAATATGGACCCGATGTGAATTCCACTTGAACAATATTTCACAAACACATACCACACAACATCAAGCACTCCCCTTGAAAAATATCGAAAGAACTTGTTAACATAACCAAGCAACACGACCACGTCCTAAACAAACACGACAACATACCCAACCCACACAGCAATAATCTGGATACACATCGAAATAATAAAGTAATAGTCACACACTCAAACTATATAGCAACATTCTAAAATCACAAAAAAAAAAAATAGAACCAGTGCAACAACCATTTCAAACATATACATATTGTCATGTTATACCAATCACACTACAAAACTCTACAATTTTTCGTAAAATAATACATCAAATTGTCAAACATAAAATTTAATTTAGTTACATTTACAATACCATTAAAAAAATCTAAACCACTATTTATTTAACAATAAATAAATTCTCCACATTAAAAATATTTATATTTATATATATATATATATATATATATATATATATTATTTTTATAGTCTACTCAGTTTAATTAGAATCTTAAAAATTCTTACTAAATTATTAATTTTCGCTAACTTCCTATTTAAAATATTATAATATTCAGTTATATTCGAAACATTCAAAAGATTTATATATGTATAAGTATATAATTCTACTTTCGTATGTTATATACTTAACATATTATAAGAAAAATGTATAATATAATGGCATGTCACATGATACATTAAAGGAAAACGTTTCTTCAACAACGCAAATTTGACAATTTGACAACAACACGTGTCGTTATGTGTTGTTTTAAATGATTTTTTTTTAAAGTTTAATTTTGTTTTTGAGGTGTTTTCGGAAAGAAAAATGTTGAACTTGTTGTCGTCTTTCACAAAGTGAAATTCATCTCTACGAAACTCTCTCACTAGTTTTTCCTTTTCCATTCGAAACTCTCGCTCCACCAACGAAATGCTCTTTGTCCATCGCTGTGAAAATCGTTCTTGGGTCCACTGTTCTATCTAGACGAAGTCGTGTGTGTTGGTCCGCCATTGAAGTTTTGGGAGGAAGTCTCGCTTGGGTCCATCGTTGGCGTCATTTGTCGAAAGGTTTCGTTTTTTTGCCGTCGTCGTTGGTCCTTCGTCGGTTGGGTGCGGTGGTCACTTTGTCAGCAACGATTTTCGTCTTTTATCCAAAGGTATTGTTTATTCGCACACGTATCACGCTTCGTTCCTGTGGTTTTTTGGTTTGTCAATGGTTTCTTCCTTTCTTTGTACTCTATATCGTGCAATGGATGTGGTTACCCATTTTCCCCTTCCAACTTGCAAACTCTTTCTATGAATATTTCACTTTCCATGTCTTTAAATTTGCTTTTA